GGGGGGGAGTTCTCTCTCCACCAGCAACAAACGCAGCTGCCAACACAATCTGCGACACATGCGGCATCTCTTCTGAGTCGGTGATTTAGACGAGGCTGCGAGCACTGCACGTGCACAGGATGGGAGTCGTCCTTGCTGTTTGCGATCAGCTGCAGCAACAGCAGCAGCACACGTGTGAGTGCTGTGATGCCCAACTACGGCTGCGCGGGGCAGCCGTGGTTTGTGAAAGTTAGAGGCGCAGCCGTGCAAGTTCTCGCTCACGCCGCCGCTGGCGGTCGGACCTCCACCGGAGGGAGCTCTTGGGAGCAAGGTACGCATCCCCGACTGACTTCTCGGCCTGACTTTGGTAGCGGTGGGAGTACGCACATTTTACTTCGCCACACGCGTATCACCGAATGGACTAGCTGTGGTGTGTAACCCATTGGACGGGAGGGGCATTCAACTTCCGTGCCGGGAGATCGAACCGGCGGTACTATGCATGATGTTAAACGCTTTGTAAATCCACTCCTGGATGAAGACCTCCACACACCAAACCAGTCGGGGGGGGGGGTGGGGGAGGGGGTGGTGGTTTGACCATACTTCTCCGCGCTGGTCAGTGCAGGACGGTTGCGCACCCACCGACATCGGCCGTGGCCGGGAATTTGTGCGCCACCCACCCACCCGCCCGCCTCGCTCCGCTCCGACCAGAGCAGCGCCGCGCGTCTCGGTGATTGTAACACAGGCGCTCTCCGGCGACCCCAATTCCTCTACGTCCGACCCCGTGATCTCGCTCAGATCATCCCGAGTCCTTTCTCGACCGATGGAGCCGCGTGTTTCACCGCGACGCCGATAACACCACCCGTGTTATTAACCAGCGCGGTCTGGCGGGGAGGGGGGGGGATGGCTGGCTGACTCAGCTGCTCTTCGGTGGCCTCGCGTGCGTCCAGACCAGGTTTGCGAGTTCAAATTCTGCTTGGGAAGATTGCACTCAGCCCATCGTCGTCGTAACCACCCATCCCCCCCCCCCCCCCTCGGAGGTCGATACAATTAGCACCACTTTGTGCGGACGTCCACAAGTGGTGGTCCTAACGAGAGGCTCGCTCCCATTGTCCATAGGAATGTGGAATTTCCACCACCGGTTCAGGGCTGTAACCGGGAGATGAGCATCGCGATGATAATAGCAGCAGCGTCCAGACTGTGTGTCTCACACGCCCGTTACGGCGACACTGCGCAGCCCGATGCTCAACTGCAACCACCACCCTTTAAAAAAAAAATTCTGTAATAATAAAATATAAGTAGCCAAATAAATGAAGCAAAAAAAAACGCGCCACCAAAATCTAATTTGCAGTCCCCACCAGCAATATCCTTGAGCAATTATTGACACGCTCATTAAAAGCAATTATTGCATTTTATTATTTAAAAAAAACACCATCACCACCACCACCACCACCCAGAGGCATGGGTCCGAGACAGGGTGTTCACTCGCGGACTCCGTGTTTGGATTGCAAAACCTTCGCTCACTTTGGTCTGTTTAATGTAATTTTTAAAAATGTAAACCTCATTTAACCGATAAAAAAAATTATGTTTAAGCCATTAAAAGTTCAAAAGCAACAATTTTCAGCGTTGGCCGAGCTGCGATCGTCGCCCAACAGGAGAGAGCTGCGGGGGTGGCAAGCCGCTCTCCAGTGAGTGGGGACATCTGCGAAAAAGAGCTTTACAGCTCATCGGATTCCTCCAGTACAAATACAGATTCTGATGATGCTGGGGCCACGCGGTGCTGCTTGCCACTTGGGCAGGGCCCACGTGTGCCCCCGGCTATCAGCTGCTGCAGAGAAATCCGCGGTTCGAATTCGGGCAGACTACCTGGGATAATACTGACGTGTCTGTCTGCGTATTAACCCAAAGGAAATAACCAGGCGCCGCCTGATGATGCTGGTTGTAATTACCGGCGAAACGTCGTACTCGAATTGTAAATGTTGTGGGTTTACCCCTCCAACACACCGGTGTATTGAGCTAGTAAATAATTGGCATGTTTTGTTTTCATGACAAATATTACCAATTGGCTGTGTCGGGTGGTGGCGGGTTTAACGACACATTTATATTCATGCGGTCTAACACGAGCAATATCTATTGTGGAGAAGCAGGCCGCTGTGTGCAGGCGTCAAGGTCAAAATTTGTCAAAATTGTTAAACAATTACCTCCCTGCAAATGACTCCATTGAGATCACACGCAGCGAACAACGCTCACCGCTGACTCGCTCATGCGATTGGCAGGCCAAGTGTCGCACAGGGTGGCAGCTCCCGCTCGGGGTGCCCTTTAAAATGTGTGAGATGTGATGCAATTTGGTTATCACACTTATGCAGTGCTCTGAGACGCCCCGGAGAAACGTGTGTTCTATCAAACACACAAATCATCATCATCATCATCGCTATTAATATGAACCAAATCACTCTCGAAATCGCACGACCTAATTGCCTGCAATTGCATTTTCATAATTATATGCTCGCTTGTCAAAGCAGCTCGTAAGAATGTACAGTTGCGGATGCTAATATTCTCGAGACGTTAAGGGAAGTTGAGCTTCTGGACGATCTCAGCTCACGCGTTGAGAAGAGACCGAAGAGATGCAATGAGAAGGGCTGGGGAGAGATTCCACCGGTGCAAGTCCGTAGGCAGGAGGAGCAGAGGGAGGGTGTGTGCCTCGAGAAGAATGCACGGAATAGACGCTCATGGAGAGAGACACGGAGAGAGAATCTGAGATGCCGATCCTGGGCTGCGATGGGACTCCTGGATCATGACGAAGGAACTTACAGGTCATGGTTGACCGCGTGTGCGTGTGTGTGAGTACGACACTTCACGTGGCCTCAAGGTGCACATGGCCTGGCACAAGCGTCGTGGTGACGTCACCGCCACTTAGTGGCGAATGGCGGTTGTTGTTGTGAGTACGAACTGGATCGGCAGGACTCGTCGCTTGAATGGACAGTGGCCGATGGTCAAGACTAGGGCCTCCATGATGGCGAGATGTTAACTACCTCGCCCGGGATGCAGGTCATGAGTCCGATCCCGATCTCGACCCTGACGACTGGATATGTGGAGTTTGCATGTTCTCCCCGTGGTCACGTGGCTTTTTCTCTGGCTCCTCCGGTTTTTACCTTCCCACTTAGCAAACACGCGTTCAGATTATTTGGCTGCTTTAAATGTCCACACGATAAGCCACTTTCGTTGAGCTATCATTGACGGACAGGTCGCTTCTGAAAAAGAGCTCTACAGCTCGGTTGAGTTTAGACTCGTCACGATGTGGCAGCTCAAGGAGGGAACGCGCGGAGATGGAGTGGTCACATGAGCTCATCCAGCAGCGGATTGATGCATCAGCGGATTCATCGACCTTACGGAACGCGTGTTGTGGGGAATCGCTTCCATCGCCCATGCCCGCCTCGAAGAGACGCTCGGTGTGTAAATAGAGGGTTGTTAGCGGGTGAGTGACTGAATGCGTGGCGAAGGCGGAGTGCTGCCACGGTGACGAGTCTCGCGCACGCGGCACATCCCGGGCAAAGCGTGACGCGGGGGGGGAGGGCCGTTAGCGGCGAAAAGCTAAACCACGATTTAAAGCTTTCGTGACTGCAGGGATTCATCTCCTTGGTTCTTTCGGTAATGTCACGTAGAAGGGAAATAATAAAGTAATTAAAATAAAACGTAACAAAATAATTCTCACGACGTTTCGGCCACAGACCTGGTCTTCACCTGAGGACGGCTGCTTGCGTTGTGGCCGAAACGTCGTGAGAATTATTTTATGTTTTATTTTTATTATTTTATTATTTCCCTTCTACGTGACTTTACCGAAAGAACCAAGAAGAAGCTAAACCACGTCGGACAAGGAAGGTCTTTATCGCCCACCTCCCCACCCACCCCGTACGACCACCACACCCAACACTCACCCCCGCCTACTCGCCCACTAGCTCGTGCGAACGTCGTCGTGTGGATGCAAATCTATCGCTCACGCCGCCATGTAACGTTGTGCGCCGACGGACGATGACGCGGCTCTTCCGCTCGGGGCCGACGGAGCGGACCGGAGCTACGGGCACTTGCGCAACAACGCAGACGAGACGGCGAAGACGAGGCCGCGAGTGAAGAATGGAGATGATCAATCAAATCGCGATTCACAGAATCGATGGGAGGCAGGGCCCCGTGCCATGCACACTACGCCACTGGCCGTGGTGCTAGCCGCACCGAACCACTCGTGTACCATGTTGGCCTTCATCCGACTCTAAAGCTATAGATGGATTCATATTCTTAGGTTTTTTTTTGGGTGAAGTCACGTAGGTAAAAAATGTAAATTAATAAAAGTAAAATAAATAAATAAAATCACGACGTTTCGGAGGCAACACAAGCTTCCATCTTCAGGTGGGACCGTCACAGTACGATAGCTGTATCAAGTGAGAGAAATTCCAAGAAACAGTATTTGTACTGTTATTTTACTTTTATTAATTTAAATTTTTTACCTACGTGACTTTATCGAAAAAACCTAAGAATATGAATCCTTGCAGTCACGAAAGCTTCAAATCTAGAACTATAGATGGATCTTTGCATATAAACATCGTCACTCGGGAGACAAAGGCGGCTGAGTATGTAATTGCGAATTTAACTATGCTGAACTTCTTTTTCACCGCACGTAGCCAACCGTGCAAAACGGAGGTGCGAGAAACCTACAAGAAACTACACACAAACAAACAATCCCCTCTCTCATAGGTACACCGTACCTGCCTGCATGGGTTGCTCATCGCTAAAAGCACTTGCCCCAACAGCCTGTCCAAGGGCTATAAGGGAGAGGAGAGGGGGGGGGGGGGGCATCATTGTGTTTGTGCGTTAACATCAGCACTGGCGAGACAAAGGCGGCCGATTAGCACGGTTGGCTACGCGCGGTGCGAAATAAGTTCAACGCGCGTGGTGCACTCGCCCCCACCGTCTGTTGATGGGCCGTACGGCGTGAGCATCGCTGTGTTGGTGTGTGCGGCGCCACGCGTGACCTGCTGAGCAGCTGCAGCTGGGAGTAGAGGTAGCGCAGCAGGGCGCGGCGGCACACCACCTCGGCGTGGCAGTCGTTGAGCGCCAGGCCCGCCACGCTCATGAACTCCCCGTGTAGGCACTTGGTGCCCGTGGCCAGGCAGACGACGCGCGCCTCGCTCGCGGGACCCCCGTCGCCTGCAGTGGGCACAGCGCACGCACGCACGCATCATCATCATCATCACCATTATCTTCACCATTATCATCACCGTGGTTTTCACCATTATTACCATGATCATCATCACCATCATCATGATCAACATCATCACCATGATCACCATCATCAAAATCCTCACTATCATCAAGATCACCATCATCAACATCACCATAATCATCAACATCATTACCATCATCGCCACCATCATCAACATTATCTTCACCATTATCACCCACGTCGTCTTCACCATCATTACCATGATCATCATAACCACCATCATCACCAACATCATCATCACCACCACCACCATCATCACCACCATCATCACCAACATCATCATCACCACCACCACCATCATCACCACCATTATCATCACCATCATCATCATCACCACCACCATCATCATCATCACCACCACCACCATCATCACCACCATCACCACCACCATTATCTTTACCATTATCACCACCGTCGTCTTCACCATTATTACCATGATCATCACCAACATCATCATGATCACCATCATCAACATCACCATCATCATCACCATCATTACCATCATCGCCACCATCATCAGCAGCAGCATCACCACCATCACCATCATTACCAGTGGCTTAATTTAGCATTGAATGTTTTTGGGACCCCCTCCACCCGATCCCCCTTCATCATCAGACATCATCAACCTTCCTGTCTGCTGCATTATAGTCATCATCATTTAGATCAGCCATATTTTTTAGATCATCACATCCACATTACAATAACTCCTGGGGTGCACTACTGCCACAATCAACAAACCTCCCTGTCAACTACATCATCACGATGCATACACCCAACGCCCATCGTCCACACGGTCATATAATCGGATCTTCGTCAATTTAACCATCATCATCCGCACCGTCGATTAGCACGGTTGCCTACGTAGGGTGCGAAAGAAGTTCAACATACAAACATCATCCTCCCCATCAACTGCACCATCACCATTTCAGTCGCGACTTCCTCTGTACAGAAAGCCGCCACGATCATCATCATTATCATCCAGCCCCCTTGAGCTCCCCACCCCCTTCTCCACCACGAGGCCACGGGGGGGGGCGGGCTGCGGGGGGGGGGGGGGTCCCACGTCAAACGGCACGAAGCGAACCCAATCCGCTCCCACGCAGGAACTAAATTAAAATCTCGCGTCCGCGTTAGGAGGCGGGCGGATGTCTCAGCCGGGGAGAACAATTTGAGCATCACAGAGGAATGGCGCTGTGAGAAATTACTCGAATAAAAGCTTCAGAAAATAAGTTGATTGGGAGCCGAGACGGCACGGGTTGGGGAAAGATACGCGGCACGGTCAGGGCCCGCTGCGCGTCGCGTTATCTCAAACGTGTGACTGCAAACCTCCGCGCGCTGTGCTCCGGTTCATAACAAACGCAAAGGCGTCCCGGGTAAACCAACAGACTGTTTGGGGCAAGTGTTGTTGTCGGCGAGCAACTGTGATGGCTCGGAACGGAGCACGACGAGAGTGGGGTGACGGAACTACGGCCGGCCGCTTTTGTTCTCCCAGCGCCGATGTTTATACACACGGCACCAGGTGCCCATTTAAGGCTGAGTCGACCTAGGGGAAGCCCATAACGAGTGTTGATATTTATAACTGATGTTGGCCGTGAGCGGGAATCAAACTCGGAGCGCGGTGCGCTAATCGCTGCATCGCCGCTACCCGCAGCCTCCTACGCACACACACACGCGGTCTGCACACACGCGGTCTGCACACACACGCATTGTGCACACACGCAGTACGCACACACGCGGTTCGCACACACGCAGTCCACACACACGCATTGTGCACACACGCGGTCCGCACACACGCGGTCCGCACACACACGCATTGTGCACACACGCAGTACGCACACACGCGGTTCGCACACACGCAGTCCACACACACGCATTGTGCACACACGCAGTCTGCACACACGCAGTCTACACACACGCAGTCTGCACACACGCAGTCCGCACACACGCAGTCCGCGCTCACGCAGTCTGCACTCACGCATTGCGCGCTTTCAGATACGCTTCTGGAACCCTCTTCCTTCTGTTTTTTGGAAGCCGCTGTAGCTATGCACATTTAAAGCTAGTGCAGCGCCACATTAAATACGCACTACAGTGACAATAGTTTAAAGCGATTTGAAACATGTTTTATTTTTTGAGGGGGGGGTCTGACTTTTTGTGACGCCGTGCGACAAAGGGGGGGGGGTGTGGTCAAAAATCGTCAAAAATCGCGTGACGTCATTTATGGACGGCCCCATACTCTGACTGATGCTGCGTCTCATATTCGCCAAGACAGACAGATCGCCGACTCGGCCTGGCTCTGGACGATGCGCTTGGTCGAGAGCTATTAGCGAGCGCCTATTCCTGTAGTGCATTGCAAATGTGCCCATGAGGCCATGACCGGTGTCCACTGTCGGAAGCGAAGCGCGGCTGATCCTGCATTGGACGGGCACCCACCGTGATACAAACAGGTGCGTCGGGGGCTCGGTTGTTTGATAGGAGAGGGGTAATGCAGAAAACTGAATTGTTGTACTGTACTGCTACGCCCACGCCACCCGCCACCTTCACCGAAAACGCACTGACCATTAACTCCCGCAACCTTCACGGTTTGGGAAGGCCCTAATCCAGCAGTGGATTGACACCAGGGGTGGTGTACGTGTGCTTGTGTAACTACTGTGTTGGCACGGGGGGAGTGCTGTTGGCGAGCACCCATTAGGGAAAAGAGTTGCGTGGCCGCTCGCAAGCGCGGACGATTCCAGACCACGGTGAGAGCGATAGAGAGAGCGAGAGAGAGAGCGAGAGAGCAGAGAGAGCGAGAGATCAGCTATCGTGCTGTGACGGTTCCACCTGAAGACGGAAGCTTGTGTTGCCTAAGAAACGTCGTGATTTTTTTTTTACTTTTATTAATTTAAATTTTTTACCTACGTGACTTTAGCGAAAAAACCTAAGAATATTAATACGAGATCTACCCCTCGGACAGCAGAACTGGCTGCTTGGAATGCACGGGGGGGAGTGTACCGTGGCCCAAGTAATTTTCCGCGGAGATTTTTAATTAGATCTTAGATTTTTTTTCCCCACGTCTTTAGCCGCGGCAAACATTTATTTATATATATAACAAAAAATATGTAAACTTTTTTTTCGTTTGTCGATATTAAGTTGAGTATCTTAACACATCGGCAGCATTAAAACCTGCGGAACTTAATGGCAAAGCCGCACCGTAATCGTGTCGGGTGAATTAACCAGACAGCCATCATAGCTCGGTAGTAGTTGTTCACACATGCACTGCAGTGGGCTCATTAGAGCTCTGAAAATCACTCTGGAGGCGTTTGTTTCTTCTTTTATCAATGGTGAAGCTTCCAACTCGCATGGGACAACGGCGGAACACACGGCCTGGGTGTGTAGCTATAACATGAGAGGCATCGCCATAGGCGAGTGATATTTGAACCGGTGTTGACCCTAGAACTACCCACACCGGCCTCCCACCTTCACAACCCCGCACTGTCCTGCCTGGTGAAGTATGGTCAAAACAGTCCCCAACGACTGGCACGGCACGGCAAGGCCCCTATAATTAGAGCGTCACGGCGTGCGGTGTAATGATACCGCGGACACCACGTGGTGTGGGTGTAGTACCGGCCCTAGAGGGGCCCGGTGAGCGCTGGTTTATAGCGCTAGATGGCACCACGCTTGGCGTGCAGTGCCAGCCCCTACAGGACAGGGTGTGGGAGTGCCGGCCGTAGGGATGAGGTTACTAAAGGCCATGGCACTCTGGGTAACCCGAGAAGACACGTGACCAGTTAAGTCTACAAAGGGGCCCAAAGTGGGGGCTAGGTGTGGTCACGTGGTTGGGATCCAGATCCTTCTCGAGGATTCTGGAAGGTGGGCGTGGCCAAGGGTGGAGCCAGCCACGCCGCAGAGAATATAAGCCGGGTCCCCCAGAGAGACCGGCGTTGTTGTTGTTGTTGTTGTTGTTCATCCTGAATAAACCTTCGTCTACGTTCTACGTTCTCCAAGTCTCCAACACGTGGACCTGGACCCGAGCTGTTGGTCCCGGTCCGTAGTAGCAGTGACGTTGTAATTAGTGTAGTGAGCCTGGTGACTAGTGTAGTAACTAGTGTAGTAACTAGTGTAGTTAGCCTGGTGACTAGTTCAGTAACTAGTGTAGTAACTAGTGTAGCTAACCTGGTGGTCACCACGTGGCTAGCTACACCAGTCACGTGGTAACTAGTGCAGCTAGCCTGGTGGTCACCACCATAGGTTGTTGTTCTGTTAAGGGGAAAGTTACCCCGTGTGTTGGAGTTAAATAAATTTTAAATTATAAATGTATTGCCTCCAAGTCTAGGTCTGCACTACACAAATATAATGCATTCCAAATATCAATCAAATGAATCCGAAAATTTGACTCGGGCTCGCAGCACAGATGCGCGCATTAAGCACAGCCAATATATTATGTAATTATAATAATTTCTCGTGGTTCCATTTTCTTCTAAATCTCCCCCGCACCGCCCGGCCCCCGCGTGCGAGATATCAAAGCCTCGAGCGCAATCTTTTAGGTGGCTGATAATGAGCGAGTGAGCACGCGCGCGCCTGGGATGCGAGAAGAGAAATTAAATGTGCGGCGCCATCTGAAATGAGCTTCATGTCACGACTCTGAGGGCCCCCCCCCTTTTCTCCCCCTCCAGAGGGGGAGGAGAGGGGGCGGTTTCCGGGGGGGAGGGGAGGGGGCGCCGCTTCAATTCGCCGCAATTACGCGAGGAAATTAAAAGAGTTGCCTGGTTTTTGCCATGCGGACAAGATCATGTGATTGGCAGAAATTATTATAGTTTTTGGCCTTGTATATCATTTTTTTTCTTTCAAGGAGAGGGGGGTGGGTGGGTCGGTGAGAAGCTACGAGGCCGCTGAGTGATGGTGGCGGCTGCACCCATCTGCCACCCACCCTCCGCATCGCCCCCCCCCCCCGCTCTCCATCAATGCGCCCCCTACATCTCCGCTAATATTCATCCATTAAACCCGAGCAATCAATGATCGCTCCTTTCTCTCATCCCCTCCCCTCTCCCTCCCCGTGCCTCCCCACCCCTCTGTCTTTCTGACCAAAATAAATTATATTATTAAACCTCGCCGGCTGACATTACTTTAGAAGTCGCAGAGCTTTAAAAAGCAAACGCCGGCTCAATTCATCATTTTATTAATTCATCTTGTGAAAGACAATTACTACTTTGCTCAACAGCGTCAGCCAGGAGAAAACTATTTCTTTCTGTTCTGCTCAGCTCGGGGCTTCTCCCGTCTCGCTCTCTCTCTCTTTTTTCTCTCATAACCGCAATGGGATGGGACATCTATGTGAGTGTTGTTCCAATCGAAACTATACAAAAACGCAAAAACTATATATATTTTTTAACCAGCTCAGGCCCACACTGAGCAATGGAGCTCTTTTTTCAGAAGCGACCTGGTCACAAATGAAAGCTAAACTTAGTGGCGTATCACGTGGAAATGTTATAGCAGCCAAATACTCTGAACGCACGTTGATTATGAATGTGTAAGAGGGTGAATAGCTGATGTGATTTGTTCATAGATGGCTGTGTCAGACACCGCTGAGATCCGGCCTTCAAATTCGGGTTTCAATTGGCCCTTTGTGAAACCGGGTTCTCAAGCGAGTTGGTGGTTCGGCAAGGTCAACGAGTACTTTACAATCACGGAAGGGATGTAGATGTTTCAAACACATATACACCGATACAAATACTCCACATTCAGCCTTTAATAGACTGTTATGACAATTGCTGTTAGCAAGCACCTATTAAGACTGGCACAGCACACAAAGAGTTGGTGTAGTCAGAACCACGCGCGGCCGCCTTTGTCTCTCGCGGCGCATAAAACAAATCAGGCTTGGACCAGTTCGGATATTCGCCACTCTCAGACACACATCTTACACACACACATCACATACACATCACATACACATCTCACACATCTCACACATCTCACACACACACACATCTAACACACATCACACACATCTCACACACACATCACATACATACACACATCACATACACATCTTACACACACACACACATCTCATAAATCACACACACACATCTCACACACATCACACACATCACACACACACGTATCACACACACACACAAGTTTTACACACAGACCTTACACACATCACACACATCACACACACACATCACACACACACACACGCATACATCTCACCCCCCACCACACTCCCGCAGCGGGCCTCACCGCGGGTCAACACCATCCCGGCCAGCACCTTGCGCCGCTCAAGGAGCGCGGCGGCCACCCCGCCACGCGACGCGGCTCCTCCGTCTCCTCCATCTCCTCCTCCTCGTCGTCCTCCATCTCCTCCTCCTCGTCGTCCTCCCGCCAGCTCCGCAAACTTATCGAGCACGAGGCGCGCCACGCGGTCCGCGAGTCCCTGCAGGGAACACCGCCGAACGCCCACGAGGGATCAGTGGCGGCAGGGAAAACGCTCGTGTAGGTGGGTGGCGGGGGGGTGGGGGGTGCAATGGAGTGGGGGGGGGGTCATAGATGTGGTGTAGCGGTTGAGGGGGGGGGGCAGTTTTACCCGGACCTTTGATCTCGGGAATTATCAGAATGGACCCCCCCCCCCCCCCCCCCCCCGCTGGTCCTCATCTGAAATTATGCCCCAGGCCTCCGAAAAGTTTTCAACGACCCTGATTGAGGGTCGGCTGACTTTCCATGTTGCTGTCCCTTGATTCATACCACCCATACCCCCCCCATCCCCCCACCCCCCTTGGCTACGTAACACGTGGATCTTTTTGGCGACTCGACATGGGCCAACCGTGGCCGAGGCATCGCACGAATTCCAAATTCACCACGCGGATTCAGAACCAATGTCACCATCACCGTCTCAAAACTCAACAGGGCTCCAAAGATGATGAGGACATTCGTTACGATTATCATCATCATCGGTCCGCTTGTTTGCTCTGGAAAGCCTCGCTGAGTCTCACGGCTGTATTTCAAGAGGGTCGTGCCAAGCGTGTGACAGAACCTTCGTGCACCTTAATCGCCCCAGAATTGATGCGCGCACACGCGTGGGGTGAGCGATTACTGTCTACCCGGTCCGTCTCTATAGTTTATGCCCGTGTCTCACCATGTCTACCTCGCCGTGTCTCCCGTGCGTGTCTCGGTTGACTACGTACGCTGCGAAATAAGTTCAACATACTAAACTGAAACCAAACGAATTTTTTTGATCTTACCAGTTAAGACCCACTGAGCGAAAGATCTCTTTTTCAGAATCGACCTGGCTGCCAATGACAGATCGACAAAGTGGTTTATCACCAGGAAATGGAAGCGGCCAAATAGTCGAAACGCATACATACACACGTGCATGGCGGAGCAACCCTATGCGAGATGCGGACCGAAATGAGCACACACATGCATACACACGTGGCGTCTTCTGGTCCAACACCAATGGAGACTAGGCTCTAAGAAAAGCTGTCTCGGGTGTGGACCAATCAACTTCAAGGACAGTGCATATCATTATCAGAGTTGTTTCTTTTTCTTTGCATTTTGACTGCTTGTGTTGTGGTTATTGCAAACATGATGCCTTGTATAAAGGTGTCAGTTTTGTACCAGTTTAAAGGGTAAAAACCTACTACTATATTTTGCCAACTTTGGGGGCTTAAATGACGAGACTTTCATATGCACTTTTTAAATCCTTTATATTAAGTTCACTTGCGTGCTTGCATGCTTGCTTACGACCGTGCAAATCTTTCGGTCGTTTTTTAACCCACTTCCCGTGATCCAATCGAGCTGACATTTTGCACACAGACTCGTTGTGCGTGACAATTTATTTTCGTGAATTTCCAAAATTTAACACTTTTTAGGAAAAAATAAATTATATTTAATTACCAATTGCTTAATGATGGCAGGCAATCATCTGACCCATAGGTGGCAGCCATCTCAAGCCAGAGGACGAGAGGACTCTAGCCGCTACGCATATAAAGGATTTATAGTGAAAAACTTTGTTTTTACGGGTTAATTTTTTTTCACTTGTGCCCAGGGTCGAGGTCAACATCGCCATTTAGGAGACAAAGGCGGTCAGCTACGTGCGGTTCTGGCTTTACAAAATCCACTTCGCCAGTGTGTGTCGTGCCAACCTTAATAAGTGCGCTGTAACTAACACGTCCACTGGCCTTCCGGAACTAATTGGGAGTGGGAAGGAGGTAGGCTGGTGCATTTTAACGACTTTTTAATTTAGTTAACTTGCTTGCATTCATCTTTAAAGTTTATCGGCTTCTTTTACTTGAATTCATTCATTACCTTTGTCTCTTTCACTCCCCCCTACAGTCCCCTTGCCGTTCATAATGTTCCTTACCCTAATTAGGACAATTATGTGCCGTGTAATTCCCATCACGCAGGCGCACACAGCGAGCGAAATGCGGGCCCGACACACGTGCTGTGCAGTTGCGTAATGAGCGAGGGGCAAGGAGGTGGCCAAAGCTACAAGTTGAGGCCCCCTTGACAACCACCATGTTATGTGCTTTCAACAAGAGTGTAAAAGAACAAACGCTTATTTAAAAAGCGATTCAAATAGATTTTTACGACAATACTTTCATTTACGTTTCGTGATGAATTTCAATTTTACTAGAGAAATAACGTGATATTGCAAAGACACTACTACGGAGCTGTAGGGGCTGCATTTTGCGAAGACGGAGCGCCACATACAGCATTAAATGTTCGAGACCGTGAGCGTCACGATGATGTGAGTAGGCAAGAGAAGCCGTGATATACAATCGCCTCTGGGTGCGACCGTGCGAGACAAATCCCTACCTAACCGATTGCCGCACCCCCTGAGCTGCCAATGTAGTTACTACGCCACTGGTGCCATACCAAACCAGTTCACGCGTGCCTCGTTGGATGGCCTTACGGACGTGCGTGTGCTGCTCAATTTCTCGGGCCGAAATCAAACTAAAAAAAAACATTGCTCGTGTGTTAATTCGACAACGATTCGATGTCAAGTTCATGAAAAGTGCGCCGCTCTTCTCAAAGCAGTCACTCACTGCATGTCACGTCACGCCTCTGTTTTGTCCACCACCTGCACCACGGAAAGTGGCGCCCCACACATCAGATTTTATTTTCTTCTCACTTCTCACGGATGCCTCCAGAATTGTCCGTCAGTAAACTTCTCTAGCACCACCCCGCCCCCCCCTTCTCAAAAAATCACCACCACGAATCCCATCGTCAACATGATCATCACAACGTTGTTTTCAGAACATCGTGCTATGCAGTGAGGTCTCCGGATTATGTTCGCAGCTCTACCACCTCTTTCTGGTCTGAAGAAGGGCCATTGCCCGGATCGTTTGCCTCGACTAAATAATTTTGTTCATGAGGGTGTTTTCATTACAAGAAGTGGCCTGTTGATTTGTGGTCTCTGAATAGGTGTGACAACTGCGCTACACGAAGTATGACACACTCACTGCATAATATACACATCTTAAATACAAAAAAACCCAACCGCTGCTGCTATTGATTTTTACAAATAAAACACGACCCGGAGAAAACTGACACCAGACGGGGTAAACAGAGAGGGCGGCTGTGATGTCTTTCATGCCACGCGATCCCCCAGGCCATCGCGTCGAGATCAGCGACTTCAATGCTCGCAGAGTAATTGTTTCAAAGTGCACACAAATGCTGCCCCCTCTCCCCACACCTAGTCCCCCCTTCACCCCCCGCCCCCCCCCCCCCCATCAGCCCGGCTAAATTGGCACTCACGCACACGTCGAGCACAGCCACGACGCTTTCTAGTCTCACAGACAGTGCTGTTCATACAACATCGATCTACAATGCAAGACAATTATCAACTACGTATTGAATCATACTTAAGCCATCCAGATATGAATACCACCATCGTGATGATCCTCCTCCACGTAAGCGCCAGCGCTAATATCGCTATCACCAGTGTCTCCGCTGGTCATTATCATGAACCTCATTAGCTACATAATCATCTTCAAGACGACTCTATCTCATCTGAATAAAGATGACCATCATCAACATCATCACCATCAACGGCAATCTGAAAATTCTATCCTGCGAAGGGCACGACCACGTGGCTGCAAAGCACGCGACAACGTGGGTGTCAAGTAGGCCACCACGTGACCAGGAAGTGCGCCACCACGTGACCGAGATGAAGGCCACCACGTGACCGTGAAGTGCACCACCACGTGACCACGAAGAAGGCCACCACGTGACCGTGAAGTGCGCCACCACGTGACCGCGAAGAAGGCTACCACGTGACCGTGAAGTGCGCCACCACGTGACCGCGAAGAAGGCCACCACGTGACCGTGAAGTGCACCACCACGTGACCACGAAGAAGGCCACCACGTGACCGTGAAGTGCACCACCACGTGACCACGAAGAAGGCCACCACGTGACCGTGAAGTGCGCCACCACGTGACTGCGATGAAGGCCACCACGTGACCATGAAGTGCGCCACTACGTGGCCGCGACGAAGGCCACCACGTGACCGTGAAGTGCGCCACCACGTGGCCGCGACGAAGGCCACCATGTGACCGTAAAGTGCGCCACCACGTGACTGCGACGAAGGCCACCATGTGACCGTGAAGTGCGCCACCACGTGACCACGAAGAAGGCCACCACGTGACCACAAAGTGCGCCACCACGTGGCTATTCAGCGCGCCTCCACGTGTTACCTCCTGCTTCACGACTCAAGCACAAGCGCGTGTGGCGGCGACACTCACCTGCGAGAGCACCGCGTGGTTCTCGCCCAGGCCCTGCGGAGGCCCCACGGTCGGTGGCCGGGCCGGCCTAAACGCGGCCCCTATCCCGTAGAGCGCCCTCAGGGCGGCCTGGGCCGCGCGGCTCCGAGCCACCCTCTTGCTCCGCGCCGCTCCCCTGAAGGAGCATCCGCCCACGGTCACCTGCACCACCACACGAGGAGAGACGCCCTCGGCCGTCGTCGGCCCAGCCGCCCCGGGCACTCCGGGGGGTCCCGCGATGTCTCCGAAGGCCGCGTCGGGATGCAGCGCGCCGAGGGCCCACACGGGATTGTTGCGCACCTGGCTGAAGGCGTCGAAAAGGGCCACCGCGCCCAGTGGAGGCCACCCGGGGGCTTGGTAGCTCTCCAGGGCCTGCAGATCCTCGCTTGGAGCAGCCCCGCCACCGGAATGCGTCCGCTGAGCCCATGCGACCGCATGCGGGACGGACGCATCCGCTTCCAACGCGAGAGGAGCTCTCTTTGTGACCGCTGCTTGAGTGCTGTTGCTGTAGCCGCTGCTGCTGTTGTTGCTGCTGATATTGTATCTGTAGTCATTCCAGCTGTAGTAGCAGCACTCGCCCTTTAAAGTTCTAGAGTGCACGCTGGAGTCGATTGTGGTGTTGTTGTTGTTGTTGTTGTAGTTGTTGTGGCTACCGCGGTTGTTGTTGTGTTTCAGCGCCCGGCACGCAAGTGTCCGAGGCGCCCATTCTGATGGTCTCGGCGTGAGCTGCGTGAGAGTGGGGTGCCGTAGTGGGGAGGGTTCGGGAGGGGCCGGGCTTCCCTGCGAGGGCTCCATGCGTGAGCCACGCGTCAAGGGTGACCCCTGTCCCTGGTCAACCTGGAGTTGTCCATGGTTCTGAAAACCCGTGTCGTGTCCATGTAGACCCGCGCGGCCCGTAGTGCTGGGCGATCGTATTTGACTACTGCTGCTGCTGCTGCTACCCATGGGTTGTGTCGAGATGGTAGAGCAGGTGGTGGCGGTGGATAACACAACCGCCACGGCCGCTGCGATTCCTCTTCCTGGGAAATCGGCAACACCGCCGCCACTACCACCGCCGTTATTGAAATCACCATCAACACCAAAACCACCACTCGTACTGCCAATACCGCCATGAACACTGCCGCTATCACCAACAACGCCATCGTTACCGCCACTAATGCCGTCACCAACACCGCCAGCAACGCAGTCACCGCCACTTCCACCCACGTCCGCAAGGTCACCAACACCGCAACCACCGCCGCCGCCGACGGCGACCCCTGGCTCAGACGCGAAGTCCGCGACATCGAATCGCATCTCGTGCTCCCCCTGCTCATCGCGGGCAAAGTCAGCATTGGCGGGCAGCGCAGAGGCGGCTCGGCCCATGGCGCGGTGCGCCTCCCACGCGTCGGGGAACTGCACGAAGGAGCGCAGCGCGCGCTCGGCCGCACGAGCCTTCGCCTCGCGCTTCGTGGGGCCCGCGCCCACGAAGGTGTCGCCGTTCACGTCCACGGCGAGCGTGAAGCGCGGCGCGTGCACGGGCCCCGTCTGCGACACCACGCGGTACTGCAGGCCCGGCCGCAACTCGTTGAGCTGCATCAGCGCGTTCTTGTTGGGCGGCGGCGGCGGAGGCGGCAGCAGCAGCAGCAGCGACGGGGGTGGTTGTGACGGAAGCAGCGTTGGTGGTGCGAGTGGATGATGTGGTGGTGGTGGTGGCTGCAGCGGTGTTGCCCCGTAGCTGCTGCTGGTGGTGATGGTGGGTGCGAGGTGGTGAGTGTGTTGGTTATGGGGGGGTGGCGGAACGAATGCGGCGTGCAGAGGAAAGGGCATGGGCAGGGCCATCAGGGAGAGGCCCCCTGCACGGCGCCTCCTCTTAGGGCGGAAGCGCGGAGCAGCCCGTCCCGCGTTCTCCTCCTCCAGCGCCCGCTTGAGGCCCCCACCAGCCGGGCCCCGCAGACCACCCACTTCGGGCCCCGACGCAGAGGGGGAGAGACCCTGCACGGGAGCCGTGGCCGCCTCTTGGGAGTCGTCGCTGTCAGACAGGAGGCAGTTTTCCTTCACGCTGCCGGAACCTGAGGGATGCACAACACATACGTGAACGTACACACACATACATACGTACATGTACAACAACAACCGCCATTCACCACTAAGTGGCGGTGACGTCACCATGGCGCCCGTACCAGGCTATCTGTATGTTGAGGCCACGTGAAGTGTTGAACATCCGCCGGCAGGAGGTCACGGGGCAGAGCCACCAGGTGGCATGGGTTGGCAGACTGAGATGACTGGCCGATGCACCTCCTGCGCCTCCTACTGTGCCAACTTGCTATGATTTAGCCGCCTGGTGCTCCGCTCGTTGTTGTGAGCGTCGCTCCTCTGCTCTCCGTTGTTGTTGGAGGGCGACTGCCTCGAACTGCCCAGCAACGTCCTTTATGAGCCTCCTCCACAGAGGCTGATCTTGACACCGCTGGTACCAGTCATTGGCAAGTCCACTCAGCTCCACATCCTTTTGTACTCTATCTCTTCTCTAGCCCATTGCGCGCCCATCTAGCCCCCTCTATCCGGCCAAACAAAAGCTGTTTAGGCATGCGGTAGCTTGGCATGTAGGCTATCGAAGGCTTCACGAACTACGTGGTCGAAATAGGTTTTAAATCATGTGGGAGCCAGAGGACATCCCTTTCGCACACCAAGGTGAACAGGGAATGGCTCTGACTGCCAGCTACATTTTTTACCCGGGCGCACTCACCATCATGAAGGTCCTTAATGATTGTGAGCAGAGAGTCACGGACTTCGAAAGCACGAAGAACAACCCAGAGCCCAGGCCTACTGATGGTATCATAGGCCTTGACTAGGTCCATTAAGCAGAGATGTTGGTCTTGTGGGAATTCCCTATACCTCTGCTGTAGCAGACAGACAGAAAATATGGCATCTGTGCAGGACCGCCCTGTCCTGAAATGACATTGGGGCTCCACAAGCCTCTCTTCAGCGTGCCTAGCAAGGCGATGTTTAATAATCCTTGCCAGGACTGTTCCCGGCAAGGATTATTCGCTGAGGAGTGAGATGTCCTTGTCGTTTATACAGTCTGTACGGTCCCCATTCTTAAAGAGGCGGACTACCAGGGCAACCGTCCAGTGGTCCAGACTGTTGCTATGATGTCATGTAGGGCAATCTGTGCACAAACGCCACCCTCCCTCAGCATTTCGCTTGAGAGATCACCTCTGCCCGGTGCCTTTCCTGGTCTCACACACATAAATACACATACGTACACGTGCCAATGCCAGTACCCGCCATTCGCCACTAAGTGACGGTAACGGGCCTGTGCCAGGCCAGGTGCACTTTGAGGTCACGTGAAGTGTCGAAGGCTCGCTCCATTCGCACACACACACATACATATGAACACATCAAAGTGCTGCTAGGCAGCACCTATGACGACGGTTGAGGTGGGTGGCCAACATCAAGCCCGGCCGCCTTTGTCCCGAGTGGCAGTGTTCACACACCACACCAGGTACTCATTTGAGGCTCAGTGGACCTAGGGGAGGCCCAAGACTGGTTCAGATGTCCATCACTGGTGTTGACAGTGGACGGGAATCGAACTCAGGAGACAAGGCCCGTAGTGCAGTGCGCTATCCGCTACACTGCCGCTCCACACACAGTTAGCTCATTCACCCGGTGTAGACACCACAGTGTGGTTAACTCATAGGCCCTGTGTACACACCACGGCGTGGGTCACTCACTCATGTTGTCCTCCTCCTGTCGCTGCTGCTCGTGCGACCTCGCGTGCCAGAAGGCGGGGGGAGCTCCCCTCGCGGGCAACAGGGCGAGAGCGCGATCTGTGGGGGGCATGCCGGAGGGAGAGGGGGTAGAGAGAGGGGGTGTAGAGAGGGGTAGAGAGAGAGGGGGTAGAGAGAGAGAGGGGGTAGAGAGAGAGGAGGTAGAGAGAGGGGGGGTAGAAAGAGAGGGGGTAGAGAGGGGGGGGGGGTAGAGAGAGAAGGGGGGTAGAGAGAGAGAGGGGGTAGAGAGGGGGGGGGGGGTAGAGAGAGAGGGGGTAGAGAGAGAGGGGTAGAGAGAGAGAGAGGGGGTAGAGAGAGAGAGAGGGTAGAGAGAGAGGGGGGTAGAGAGAGAAGGGGGTAGAGAAAGAGACGGGGTAGAGAGAGGGGGTAGAGAAAGAGGGGGGGTAGAGAGAGGGGGTAGAGATAGAGAGGGGGTAGAGAGAGAGAGGGGGTAGAGAGAGGGGGTAGAGAGAGGGGGGGTAGAGAGAGAGGGGGTAGAGAGAGGAGAGATGGGGTAGAGAGAGAGGGGGTAGAGAGTAGAGAGGGGGTCGAGAGAGGGGGTAGAGAAAGAGGGGAGGTAGAGAGAGGGGGTAGAGAGAATGAGAGGGGGGTCGAGAGAAGGGGTAGAGAGAGAGGGGGTAGAGAGAGAGAGAGGGGGTAGAGAGTAGAGAGGGGGTCGAGAGAGGGGGTAGAGAAAGAGGGGGGGTAGAGAGAGGGGGTAGAGAGAGAGGGGGTAGAGAGAGGGGGTAGAGAGAGAGGGGGTAGAGAGAGAGGGGGGGTAGAGAGAGGGGGTAGAGAGAGAGAGGGGGTAGAGAGAGAGGGGAGGTAGAGAGAGAGGGGGGGTAGAGAGAGGGAAGGGGTAAGAAGGAGATCAGAGCGTGACATCTTTCATTTAAACAGGGTGGGGGGTGCACATAAAACAAAGCATTGGAAAAAATGATGAACGAAGCAAAGTGCCGACCACACCGAGCGTCTTCTTGTTTCCTCTGATCGTAAAAAAGAGAGCGAGAGCGAGAGGCAGGAGGCGGTGGAGGAGAGTGTGGAGAGGGCGCAATGATCGAGCCGAGTTTTCAAGTGGAGCGACTTTAATGGTCTCAGCCAACGCGCCCATAAATTCGCGCGCGCGCGCACACGAATAGCCATCATCTATTTATATATTTGTTCTCGATGTGGTTCAATTCTTCCTATTAATTGAATAACGCGCTGTCTTAACGCGTTGCCCACAATGCAAACGGACAATTCATTATTTGGTTGACGCGTTTACCCACGAGAGCCACACCGAGTCGTACGGATGGAACACGGCCACGAGAAGGGATCTCAGACGTAGTTTTGCACAGTCCTCTTCCGTGGGCAATTTCCGAGCACAGGGGTCGATACATCGTTTCAATCCATCTCTCGCGGGACGAGCCGCTGATTGCGAAATCGGTATAAGCTGGATTAGAGGTGGGGGGGCAAAGGTTGGAGGGAGTGAGGAGCAGTGGGTGTCGAACCGATCCTCTGGAGCTGCGCAGAAGAGCGCTGTCTGTTCCCCGCGTCTATTTATATCATCGTCTCCTAATTCGAGTAGGAAATCAACTTAAGGGATCCGTAACTTATAATGAAATCCATTAATAACCATCGGCGAGATTGTGCGACGCGCAAGACACTAATGCGCACAGTGGCTACGCGCTCACACACACGCGCTCACACACACACACGCGCTCACACACACACACGCGCTCACACACACACACGCGCTCACACACACACACGCGCTCACACACACACACGCGCTCACACACACACACGCGCTCACACACACACACGCGCTCACACACACACACGCGCTCACACACACGCACGCGCTCACACACACGCACGCGCTCACACACACACACGCGCTCACACACACACACGCGCTCACACACACACGCGCTCACACACACACGCGCTCACACACACACGCGCTCACACACACACACGCGCTCACACACACACACGCGCTCACACACACACACGCGCTCACACACACACACGCGCTCACACACACACACACGCGCTCACACACACACACACACGCGCTCACACACACACGCGCTCACACACACACGCGCTCACACACACACACGCGCTCACACACACACACGCGCTCACACACACACACGCGCTCACAAACGCGCTCACAAACGCAACGATAGTTAGCACTTCATGCAACCACGAATTAAGCGCCAAGACATTCGAGCTTGGAGTTTGGACACCCAACACCCGTGTCTCCCTCCCCGTGTCTCCCTCCCCGTGTCTCAAGTCCCCGTGTCTCCCTCCCGGTGTCGCCCTCCCCGTGCCTCCCTACCCATGCCCCTGTCACCCGTGTTTCCCTCCCCGTGTCTCAAGTCCCCGTGTCTCCCTCCCCGTGTCTCCTTCCCAGCGTCTCCGCTCCCCGTGTCTCCCTCCCCGTGTCTCAAGTCCCCGTGTCTCCCTCCCCGTGTCTTCCTACCCATGCCCCTGTCACCCGTGTCTCCCTCCCCGTGTCTCCCTACCCATGTCTCCCTCCCAGTGTCTCAAGTCCCCGTGTCTCCGCTCCCCGTGTCTCCCTCCCCGTGTCTCAAGTCCCTCCCGGTGTCGCCCTCCCCGTGCCTCCCTACCCATCCCCCTGTCATCTGTGTCTCCCTCCCCGTGTCTCCAACACCCGTGTCTCCAACACCCGTGTCTCCCTCCCCGTGTCTCAAGTCCCCGTGTCTCCCTCCCAGCGTCTCCGCTCCCCGTGTCTCCCTCCCCGTGCCTCCCTAACCATGCCCCTGTCACCCGTGTCTCTCTCCCCGTGTCTCCAACACCCGTGTCTCCCTCCCCGCGTCTCTCTCTCCGCGTCTCCGGTCCCCGTGTCCCCATCACCCGATTCCCCACCGCTAATGAGGCCACTTATCTCCTGCTCCTGTGTCACGAACCGCCACCGCCGCCCACCCCTCCCCGCGTCTCCAATCCACCGCGCCCCCCCCACCCCTGTACGCATGGAGCGCACCCCCATAGATAGTCTCATCAAGGGAAGTAAAATGTCAAAATACCCTTGATTTGCCAAAAATTAACCCAACCCCCCTACCGCCGGCGCGCGCTTACACAGCCCACGCGCATTTAATGCAATGCGCTTCCAGTTTTCAAAAACAAGAGTGGCAAAAAAAAAACCTCAGCAGTCAGCTTAACATGCGATTCAAATTAACATGTCATTAACATATCAACGCCTTGACATTTCGCATAAAGGACATCCCGGGCTGTAGAAAATGTCACAATGTAATCAAACGAAGCACAAACATTGACGATGGAAATTTCAAAGAAAGAAGGTCCGGGGGTAATTGGTGGCGGGCGGGCGGTGGGGGGGTGGGCGTGAAATGAAACCGTCCCTGCACGCTCCGCTATCAACAGAGCGAATGACAGGACGGCGATCTCACTCGGACCCGTGTTTAATCGTCCCGGTAGCACGTGGGTCCCATCGCCATGCGAGACGTTAGCGAGCACCTATTTCATGTCCGGAGGAGCGTGGTAGAGCCAGCGCCACGCCCGACCGCCTTTGTCTCCCGAGTGCCGATGTGTTTACAAAGCGCACCGGGTGCTCATTCACGGATTGCGCCTATTAGCTACCCTGACGGAGGCCAATACGAACTGATGTGTCCGGTTTGTAACAGAGTGCGCTAACCCAACTTCGCCGCCGCTCTTGCACGCAGCTTTAATGCACACAAAGAGAAAGGTCCCCCCCCCCCACGTATGACACTTCGCATGCTTTCGCCGACCGATATTATCCATGGCAATGGCGTTTTGGGTTAGATCGCGTAAATATAACTGGAGAGGAAAAACCGCACACACCATTTATACGATTCGAGTAGTTTCGGGTTTAACGACAAATTTAAAACAAAACCTCGCATGGACAACGGCCCTCCCTCCTGTCGCAAGTGCCCTTACGCGTGTCCGTCTCGCGCCGATGCTAATTTAACGAAGCACCGTGAGTGCGTGTGATGATAACTGGTGAGTGCGTGTGATGATAACTGATGAGTGCGTGTGATGATAACTGGTAAGTGCGTGTGATGATAACTGGTAAGTGCGTGTGATGATAACTGGTAAGTGCGTGTGATGATAACTGGTAAGTGCGTGTGATGATAACTGGTAAGTGCGTGTGATGATAACTGGTGAGTGCGTGTGATGATAACTGGTGAGTGCGTGTGATGATAACTGGTAAGTGCGTGTGATGATAACTGGTAAGTGCGTGTGATGATAACTGGTGAGTGCGTGTGATGATAACTGGTGAGTGCGTGTGATGATAACTGGTGAGTGCGTGTGATGATAACTGGTGAGTGCGTGTGATGATAACTGGTAAGTGCGTGTGATGATAACTGGTAAGTGCGTGTGATGATAACTGGTGAGTGCGTGTGAGCGCAGGTCCTGCACACGTGAGTTCGTGTTACGGGCCCCGCGTTTAACCCGCACGTCGTCAAGGTTGAGCTTGCAGGTGCATGATTACTTTACAGGTGTGTGTGTGTGTTTAATTAACTATCGACCAGGTGGCCTCAAGATGCGCGCCCTGACCGGTAATTGGGGAGCGCGGTTTCTTTAATTGGAGCTCCGAGCGCTCTGCGCGCGTATCACTCGCGCGCCACTTATCGAATCGCATCTCCCACATTATATAAAGTAGATTCCACTTTGAGGTGTAATCAAACGGGCAGGGATGTGGAATTCCCCCAGCCACACCCCCCCCCCCCCCCCCCCCACAACTGGTTGTTTTCCATCGGCAGGAGTTAGCGCCACCCGTCGCTCGTGCGAGACGAGAGATGAATCGACTTGCTTCGCGTCCGCGATGAACATTTTGAATGCAGGCGAGCCGGTCGCCCCTGCTCCCATGCTGGACCCACGGTCGTGAACTCCGATTCCGCAGCAGCCCCTGATGCCGTCGCCTGCGATTCAACTCGAGGCTTACGACCAAGGCGGACTTTCATTCATTTCCCCCCGACGTGCATCGCATCGGGCACACATTTAATCATTTAAGGCCGAGTCGATCTCGCTTGGACGGCCACGACCGGATCGGATATTCGTCACCGATG